AGTCCTTGTTTTACTTCTTGTTTTACTATAATTTTCATTGGTAAAGTGTTCTTCAATTCTTGTATGATAACTAGACATTGGTCGAAATAAATTTCAACCTCAAATCATAAAATAAATGAAATGCAACCGAATTCTTTCCTGAAGTCCTTTAAAAGTGAATTAAATTGTCACAATTTTATTGCTTTTGTAGCATTTCATCAGTCATGACGTGAGATTTAGCCTTGCTTTTTTCTGAAGAAGGAATTGCCAAGAACTGCCTTTATAGTCTTCATGTTTTACTGAATTACAGGTTTCTCCTGAGATTTTCAATGCTTCTGACTTCTCTTTTATTATCAGTCCTCCACAACTGTGTCAAACCATTTGCCACACAGTGTATTTTGCCTTGTGCATCGCACTTCACTTTCATTTTCTGTGAATCTCGCTTGTTGATACAAATGAGATGAAGCACCTTTAACAATATTATTGTGCTGATGCGTTGCCTTACTTGATACAAAGTTGTCTTCTTTTTCTCCCAAGTCAATATCTCTTGAGTGGCGCGATTGAGGTGAAGAATTCATGCAGAATCTGGGTCTCTTGCTCAACTTTATGTCTCATTTTTTTCTCCATCATTTATTATTAATTTTGCAATCTGGCGATGCATCGCGAAGACGACTGACTTCTTTGCTGTTCATTTTTCCGCTTAACTCACCATCGAGTGCTCTCGATGTTGAGAAGGTCACGAACATTGTGTCTCATTGACGATCACTTCCATGATAAAATTAACCATCGGCAGAGTGCTGCAGAAAAAACAGACGGCAACTCACTGACCTTCTGACGCGTGAGCATACTGAAGACTGAAAAATCCTCCGGAGGAGACGCAAAAAAGACAACGGTGTTGATCACGATCCAAGAAGTGAGGAAAAAATGCCCACCTCCTCCGTGTCGACGGTAAATCCTCTTGCGATTGAGCAAAACATCACACGTAACGGCCGCGGAGAGTGTTTTTGGTATGCTCTATAAAGGTAAACCAGAACGAGATCAATTGCTCTTTAGGAAAAATCGGAGCAACTATTTCTTTCTTTAATTTTTGTTGGGTGACATCGTAAAAAAAGACACTCGCGAGTGGTGCTCTCGTGCGTTTGCCATTCAAGGGAATCGAGATGCTAATTAAGTGTGATTCGACAGAGTTGAAATGCATGCAATTTTACATCTCCTCATGATTGAGTTTCTAAAGCCAAACAACAGCCTAAGTGCACTTCTCTTAATGCCTCGCGCACCCTCCCACAATTTCTCGTTAATACAATTTAAATATTATTTTTTTATGCTCTGCGCAATTATAATTTTGTTGGCGTCTTAAGTGTGGCTGAAACAATGGAATGAGTTGGAAATTTAATTTTAACCTGGCAAATAACATGAATGACGTCCTCTCAATTAATTAAAAGTATATCCATGGATTTTTTCTCACCTTATTTCTGGTTAGCTCTTTAATCATTTCAGCTTCTCAATGAAATCGTCTTTCTCCCTTCCAGAGAGCGCGTGTGGCTTTTTTTTACATAACCACACACATAGTCTCGCTCTCAAATCCACTTTTCACTTTTTATACACCGCAATTCTTCTGGGCGCACAGCCGAGAAACGATCAGCGGTCGATTTGTGCGCAAGATGAGAGTATGAAATTTGTATTGTTATTTGCTTTGGCTGATTATGTATTTTGCCGGGTAATTAAAATCATACCCAAAGACATGACGGAGAAATAGGAGCTTTGTTTGCACTTTTCGCGCAATAAATCCATAAAAATATATACTATTTTCCATGTCACGGCGCGGCGTTTGGTGGGGTGGCGAGAAAAGAATGCAAATGTGCGCGATTTTGTGAAAGAAAAGGATTAAGCAAAGCATATTTCGCATAACACATGAGCATTTGAGGAAATTTTTTTCTTTGCCCAACGCCACGATCTCGTTTCGGGTGGCCAAGAGAGTGACGTGGGTGGATTTGAGTGTTTGATTAAAATGGCAAGATCGTGAAGATGAATTCTGTCCATCAATTCCGGAGGCAATGCATCTCGCATGACATCGAAAATTGCAGCGAATGATTTAAATCGTCCCACAATGCTAACCCATTGCGCTGCGGCCACTGAGATTCGGTGAAAGATGTGAAAATGTCATGAGGAATTTTCTCCTCTGGCATCAAACTCATGTGTTTGCATGCAATCGCGCAAACACCAAATTGTGGGTCAGACACGATCACGCTGATCGGGAGATGAGCGCAATCAACGTCATATCTGCGCCCAAATGGAATCCAATAAATCTGCCTCGAGACGATGGCGAGTCGGAGGAAATCGAAAGTCTTTTTTTTCCTCCATCATCTCATGTTCGATCGACACTCGTCATTTTCATCTAATTGCATATTTCTACAGTGAATAAATTATTTATGCCACAATTGTCTATTTTAATCAGCAATTAACCGCATCCACTCGCGGAGAAGAATATACACACATCTCTTTGGTAGATAAAGAAATATATACACACTTAGAGGCACTCTCTTCTCTCTCACCCAACTTCGCCTTCAATGGAAGAAACTGAAATTTATTTAATAAATTGCAAAGCTCACAGAACCCGAGGCTGTGTGAACAAGATGGGAATCGCATTTGATTATTTTTCCAACTAATAAATTAGCTATTTACAGCTAAGTTACTATTATTATTGGGCGACTGTGGCGAAGAGGGGGCCAAAGGCCGAGAATCGTGCGCGGGTCCAGTACGCTGATCCATTGTGTCAGATGTTTTCTTGGCCCCAAAGTTATTAGAACACGCGTCCTTGACCAATGAGATGAATTTTATCAATTTTAATCCCACGGCTGCATTCAGACGCCGCACAAAATGTCAACCTCACCAGCGATCCGTTAAATATTTATTAGCCCAGCGAGCGAATTTCAATACAAAGTCTCCAGAAGAAACAACGCCCCATTTCTTGTCACCATCGCGCCAGCAGTTGTCGATTGATCACTGCTGATCGGAGCGTGATTTGGGGATTTCGCCGGCAAAAGTGGGCTGATCGGAGGCGCCTAAGCGCGCATTCCTTCTCCAGGTGTCAAACAATCCGCCGGATTATATGGAAATTGGAGAATTGTCCTCCCGGATCGGTGAAGGTGAGAAGAATGTTGCGTCGGCAATTAAATCAATTAATGTGCGAATTGCTCAATGGGTGAATTGTTCCCCCCATTCGTCGCGTATTAATGCAAATTTTCAATTGCTCTTGCACGTCTCTGTCTCCCATCCGATAAACATATGTTCGGCCATTCTTCTGCGTGGCGTTTTCGGCCAGGCAGCCAAGAAAAATGAGGGAGGAGGAGCATTGCTCAATCCCTTGTTTGCCATGTTTACCAGAGAGGCGCACTCCTGAGTGAAAATTGAGACCTCAGGCAACAATAATGCCAAAGAATTCTTCTATGCAACTTCGCGTGCACCTCAAGGTTGCCCATTGTGATCACAGTGGTAAAGAGGCAGGGAAGTCAGGAAATATCCGCGACCAAATCCCCGCCACTCATATGGGCTAATTAATTTTCACATCTCTCTCTCAGCACTCTCATTACGGCGGTGCACTTTTCGCGCATCTTCGATGCACACAAACTGATTAATTACCGGAAACATTGTGGATGATGCCTAATAGAGACGGAATCAATTTATCACACCAAAACACGAAGATCCAGCAAAACGAAGCTCTCCAATGAAAGTTATAATACCTCATGATTTATATTTCGTGAAATTCTTGCCACTTCTTCTCCGATTATTTTCTCTCACTCTCTGATCATCATTCACGAGCGGGTAACAAGAATGGCGAAAAACAAACATTGAAGCACATTCTGGTGAACCCTGAATGAGCAAGAGCTTTTGAATTCCATTTGCACTGTTTGGAGATCTTTCGAATGAAAATGTCATGGAAATTTTCAACAGGTGATGAATGGCATTTCCTTTTGCTAAACTCCGTGGCGCAGATTTCAAATGTATATAGTCAATTTTAGACTCCCTGCACTCTCAATTAGTCACAGTTCTTACTCTGGTTTATAGCAGAGTCGATTCGCTTCCTGGTTGTGTTAGGTTTTTGCCCAAATTGCATCATAAATCGGCCAGAGACTGTTTTTATCACGTGCTGAACTTGGAGTCTTCTGCCCGCCTTCTGTCCAACTTTCGCAATTGCCCCGCAATACACAAGCTTCAATTACCTGCAATGGATGTCTTTCACTGGACGCTGGCTTTTTGTGATCTTCCCATCTCACTGTCCCTGCATCGGCGGCATCGAACTGTTTTACAAAATATTCCAATTCAATTTAGCGCTATTGTTGAGCAACATCCCGTTCTCTCCCGTCGACTCCGCGGCAGCTGCAACTCTCACAAAATTTCTCGTCTCCACCAGGGCAAGATAGAGTGTTTGGACTGGGAATTGCGTGATATATTTCCGAATGGGCTCCTCTTAGCAAAATAGTCGGTTATGTTGGACTATAGCTCACCTCACATTATCGCGCCAATTTGGGCGATTTGAGTGGCTCGTATGATGGCTCATTGGAGTGTTTTGGGGCGCATGGCAGAAAGAGAGACGTTTAAATTACAATCCACCACAATTACTCATTGTCGATGCAATTAGAGGGAATTTCGCGATGGAGCAACAAGAGGTGAGAAAGATTGAAAGGAAATTCCCCTCCCCACGATGACTTACACCTCGTGAAAACACTACCGTGTGTGTCTCTCTTCGATCGTCCAAAATGTACACATTTGCAGAGGCGCTCTTGGGATTCATCCAAATTGATGGTCAGGCAATCTATTAGGCGTGTTTTGTATAGTCGAAGAGTGTTAGATAATCGCGCCAGAAGTGTACACGTCTCGTCTTGTGCAATAATATTTCCCTCCTGGTGATTTCATCCATCTCCCCATTTATTTCAAATAGGCAAACCACCAATTTCTTCATATATGCAATATCGCAATTAATTTCACTACTGTCACACTGACTCACTTCTTCTTCTTTGCAGGATGTCAGCAACAAAATGTGCCGAACGAGGCGGAAACTTCTGCTCTATGTTGGTGAGTATGCCAGACATCATTCAAGTGGTTCTTCTTGGCAAATTGCCCGCACATTTTGCACACAAATCAATCTTCATGATGAGTGTCCTCCAAGTGTTTAGCATTTTTCATCCTCATCGCGTGCCTTTCCAAAAAGTTCACACACACATTTTTCGACAGTGAAAAATGAAAAATATTTACTGGCAAAACAATCATTTTTAAACTGTGATTTTTTTCTTTAGTTATATTTAAGTGTATAATTTTCGTGAGTGAAAAAAGGCAGAAATAATTGCAAATTGCCACGTAAATTGAATTATTTTGCTTCTTTGCATTTTTTGCCTTTCAGAATAATTTTCTTTGCCACCCAAATTACACGCATTTCACTGGTGGAAAAGGTCACCTTTCTCTATTTTCCTTCTCTGGCATCATCTGGGTCAATCTGCATGATGCTAAAGAGGTCCATAGACAAGGTGACAGAAGCTGAAAGAGAGCCTCGTTGTTGGACAAAAAAGTCCACGAGTGTGTTGAAAACAATCCGTTGACATTTAAAAGAGAAGTCGCATGCAACTTTTTGGACATTCTCGAGGGCGCAAATGAAGAGAAACCAGTCTGTCAATCGCGCGATCTCATTTTCCATCTCGAGCACCTAACCTTTTAATTATGCTGCTTTTTGGGTCGCACACATGCAATTGCTCATATTTCACGGATAATTCCCACAAATCACAACAAAATGACTAATTGGGAATTTTCGAGCGAAACCACAACCTCACGAAGTGGCTGGAATCCGGCTGATGAATTGGGCACAAGAGAAGAAGGGCGCGCGATGGTGGTGTTTTTTCTGCTTTCTAGCCCACCAGAGAGCATCGTAAATTGAGATTCCATATCGGCCGCCGCGATAAATCGCATTGAGAGGCACTGGCTGTGGAGAGATGGACAGGCGATGAGGATTGCTGAAATCTTGCCAGGGGTTATTGCTCAATACCCCATCGTCACTCATTCTCGGATGGATTCTTCTCTCCCTCCGCGAAGCACGCACATTTCTCGGTCAGCTGGGGTGGGAACAATCGATGTGACCTTGTGCTTTTCGACACGCTGAGGAGCTCCCGAAATCCCCAAGTCATTTCCATACAACGGGCGCGATGTCACTCCAAGACACTCCTCACTCCTCATATTGTTGCGAGAATATGACAAATGAACATCAGCACTTCCTGGAGTTGCTTTTGCGGTGTAATGCGAGTTTTAAACAAGATCATGCTTCATGCATTGCCAAAATCTTGTTAACACTATGACTAATTTTCCCCACGTGTTATGGACGTCTATATTTAGAGCTCTCTTCCACTCACGCCTGACATGACCATAAATGTGTGGAAGAATAAATCTTCCCAAACGAGCCGCATTGAATTCTATCAAATTTTCCTCCACATGACTTTCCTTTTCATGCCAGTTGAACAAACATGCAATCCTAAGCGATTACCTTGCCATTATATCCAACATAGATGTGAGAAGAAGTCTTCATCTACTAGCAACACCATCGTTTCGAGTTTAGAAAACCTGAATAGGAATGGAAAGAAGTTAAACTCATTGAGGTTGAACAGTGGCTTTTTTCAGGCGAGTGGCTTCTCACAAAATTCCCACAGTTTGGCTCCTCGTCAGCTGAAAAAATGTTTACTTCTGTGGCAAGAAGGCTAATTTTCCGATAATTGCCACCCGTCGAAGCTACTTTGGCAATTGCACATCGGGCACAATTGATAGACCCCCCAATTGGTATTAGTGGCCCGAAATGGTTGGGCAAACATCAATGGCAATTTGGCCAAGTTTGTGGGTGGCTTCACTACCGATTCTCAGCTTTTTATGAAATCCCCTCATCAATGAAGTCGTCCAGGGGAGAAATTTCAATCACGATTAAATATTTTTCAATATGTGGCGATTCAATTGAAGGTTCCATTGGATTTCATGCTAATTTTTAATGGTCTCGCGCGCGCAGTGATCTTGTGTTGATATTTCCCAGAACTGATGATTGAAAAGGAGGCTAAAACCTTCCTCCTAATTGATTACACTTCATGAGATGACTTCATAACAAAATGTTCCGCACAACGGCAAATGATTTATAAATGTCTTGTGCGTGATATTCCGATTATGGCAGCGCGGAGATATCGCGAGAGAGGGAGAAAGATGGGATCAGTAGGAAAAAATCCATTAACTAATTCGAACGGCGTTTGCGGCATTAATACCGCTCTTTATCTCGAATTATATCCAATACGATATGTATGTTGGGGAATCAGAAAGCTCATGAGAAGCGCGATAATCATGCTGGCTGAGTGGCAGACGATGCAGCAAGTGCGAGGCGAAATGATGGGAAAAGAAATTGAAACTGAAAATCGGGTTCGTCGCTTATTTTGTTGATGTCTTTTGTATTTAAAGCAATTTTCTTCTATTAAAAACTCATCCTCCGACTGTTATGCATGTGTGTGACTCCGTAGATGATGTGAAAGTGAATTTTTTGTCTCTCCAGCCACTTTGATATTAAGTAACACTTATTGCGATTTTTCAGGTATTTTTTTCATCATCACCTTCGTGCCTTGTTACGGGTCAAAGGTAAGTTAAATTTGACTTACTTGATTGTGGCGAGATCATGGGTGAGAGAGAGATTGTGGGATGAGAACAGAGTATCACTCGGTGGACGATGCGATGGTGTTACATGCCATGTGATTTATGATTAGACATTTTTCTCGCTGGTGGAATTCCTCAAACAAACTCTGACACTGGGTGAGATTCAATTGTACATGGAGATTGCAATAGACAAGAAGTGAAATAATAATGGCAGGGAGTGAAAGAGGAGATGAAGGGAAAAATGAAGAGACTTTTACTGCTCTTTTGATCGCTATTTCCGGAGAAATTCCAAAATTCCGCTTCAAATCACGAATTTCTGTTGCGCCTTTTTAATTCTTCGCTCTCCCCCGCCAATTTTGCCCACGAACGTGGAATTTTTGCATCTCTCACCCAACCACACTCTTCCTCACCTCGTTTGCACTTATTCAGTTTTGTTTTTTCAACTCTAATGAAATTGGTGTAATGACTGTAATTATGAAAACAGCATCTGTCTGATGCACAAGCATTCCGATCTAGGAAAAAATCACCCACAGCCCCGCGTGAGGAATGATGGTGATTCAGCGGCTTCCACAGATAGTCTTGCGACGGTACTTTGAGGTGCACCATAATTTCCCCACATGTGACGATTGAGAATGCAGATTTGTTTTGGCTGCATTTGCGAAGAAAGCATCCAATTTCCATCATTGGACTCTCCTTCCTAAAGGTTATGCCTCGCAAATTGCACGGCAGTGAGACAATGTCTTGGGAGATCCATTGAGCTTCACGGTGGATTTTCACCACGGCAAGGGCTCAGACGAGAGTCGTCACTCTTTAATCCGCCCAACTAGCGCAACATCAGAAAAAAGATATGTACATAAGTTTTCATTTATCGTGACACGCTCTTCGTGTTGTGTGCAGTTCGTTCAATTTCCACGGAGAAATCCGTGGCACTTCTTCTGATTGCAATCGAAATTCCATGTCGCGAGACTCCTCTTGGGACTCTGAAAACGTGAAACAAGTCTCTCGCATATTGTTTTCCCAAAACAGACGAGCGCAGACATTATATATGAGCATTGAAAATGGCAATGGTATAGCGAGAGGAGATGAGTATGGAGACGACCGCGAATGACGGTGAAATGTGATTAATTTGGTATTGAAATTCAATTTCTTCTCCGCCAGCCACAATGTTGTTGTATTTGCTGTGCCCGATGACACAGCGGATAATATATATTTGAGTCGAGGAGACAACAATAATTTAATATGACTCTGTGCATTAGGGAAGTTCATGTCACACGATTAGAAATTAAAGAGACATTGTTTGCGCTTTCGGGCAAAAAACAGGTCACGATGAGACCTTCGTCCTACCATTGTGGGCATAATTTACGCTCACTTGTTCACATCACTGAGGCGAAAATTTGCCGCACAAGTGTAATAAATCACAAGGTGGGTGTGCAGAGTGAACTGAGAAATTCATATCAGTTGCATGCAACTCGCCGTGAAATTTCCTCGCAGTGAATCCCGCCTATGATAAATTGTCTCTATCTCTTGGACTACCGCTACTCTTTGCGATGCCATCAATTTGGCATCGCATCTCAGGAAGTCGGCGGAGAGAGACCTTTCGCGGCAATTGCGTGACTGAAGAAGCCCATAATGGCCTTTTAATTGAAGGTAAATTGCAATGTGGTGTTGAAATCAATTACCCGCCCTGTGTTGGTGGAATCTGCTCTGTGGAGCGCATAATTGACCTGGTCCACTGCGCTCTCACGCATCACCCATTGTCTTCGCGGGCGGCCCTGTCCAAATTGAGAAATTATGAATCACTTTGTGAAAGAGTCCTCCTGACCACGGGCCCAGTTCCTCACACCTTTCTTCTGAGCCCTCAGCCGCACACTCTGGCCACATGGATTTCCACATCGCGCGAAGAAGCTCTCTTGTGAATCTTGGCCATTGTGAATTGAAAAGAAATTTCATGGATTTTCGCAACCCAGCCCCACCGAATGCACTCCGCTTCTTCCCTCTTCCACGACCTGCTCTTGCCACGCGAGAAATGTGAGAAAATTGCACACAAGAGATTCTGGAGAATGGAAAATTCAGTGCCTCAGTTACGCGCTGGCGGTGATTAAAGTGTGTCGAAAAAAAAGGTATCACTCCAATGCAAATTGCTACAAATTTCCCTCGACTCTCTCACCCACAAGCATCCTCTGCAGACTCCACAGAAGTTGGGCGCGTGTGATGCAAGGCGGCTGCAATTGAAGCACATAATAGTGCAAAAGTGCAGCAATGCATGACTCAATACTGACTCCGGTTCTCTTTTTCCCATGCCCAGCTAACTCGACCATCAGCCAGTCTGATAGCGAGACGAGCGGGCGCCACACAATATGCGGAGCACCTGGAGAGCAGTTCTGAGGAGCGCAAGAGGCACGGGATCAGCAAGCGCTTGGTGACCGGCGAAGATGGCGAGTACGACGCGTATCAGGGCGTGCTGGGGCGCGCGGGCATCGACTTCCCCGTCCTGCCCGGCATTCCCAAGACCACCTTCAACTGCAAATCCGTGGGCAATGGCTACTTCGCCGACTTAGAGACTGAGTGCCAGGTAAGACTGCTTCTCGAGCTGCTTCTCACGATGCTCATCTCGCCTTTCTCCCGCCCTCAAGGTCTTCCACATCTGCGATGACGGTCGCAAGATCTCCTTCCTCTGCCCCAATGGCACGATTTTTCGGCAGACGGACCTCATCTGCGATTGGTGGTTCAAGGTGAACTGCGCCGCATCGCCCAGCCAGTACGCCGAGAGTGCCGAAACCCTGGCCAGATCGCAGAACAGACGCTCGTCCGCGCCGTCGCGTCTGCAGATACTCACCGAGACGGAGCCGCGCAATGAGACCGAAGCCGAAGTGGGAAAGGGTGAACTCAAAGTGACGAAACTGCCTGTCGCCTCGCGAAAGAGTTACAAGGAGTCACGCGTGAGGGCAGGACCCACGAAGCTACGATCTCGCCAATACGCCAGCTTTGAGTACAGTTCACAGCAAGACGGATCGAACGAGAGCTACGACTTTGAGGACTTCATCGTGCCGCGCAGAAGACCGAACTACAGGACTCGCGTGCCCGTTCGTCTGGTTTCTCATCCTGACTTTGATCATATTTACAGGTCAGTCTCAGTATTAATTGCCGAAGATTCCTTCTGCAAGTCTATAATTCTTATTGTAGGATCAATTACCGCGGACCTCCACTGACCTTCCGAGTGGATCCCGCTTCCAAGGAGAGTCAGGAATTCGCCGAGAGCGCATCCTTCCTCAAGACACGCAACACCTTCAACGGATACACCTACCAGCAACCCGATAAGAGGGTGAAGCTCAACAATGGCGAAGCAGAAACCACCCTTCCGCCCACTTACGTGCCCACAGACACCACAGTTCCCAATCCAGTGCAGCACCGGGGAACAGCGGTGTACTCCACGCCCAACAGCATCCAGGATGAGGTGAAGTATACCACCCAAGCGCCCATAGACAGCCGCAAAGTCAACAAGTACACCACAGCGCGGAGACTCGAGTCTTCCCGGACAACGCCATATTACACCCCAACAGTGCCAACAGTTTCTAGCCGTTCCCAGTTTGACTCCTCCCGCCAAGTGTCCACAATCTCTCCAGCTCCATCCACAACCACCACCGCAGCGTCCCTGCAGCAGAATCCCATCCACGTGCCCGAGGCGGAGACAGAGAGAGAGCACGCCATGGAGATGATGAAGACACTCAAGGAGTTGGACTTGGTGACATCCACACCGACAATTCCCACTCCTGCGGATGCGGAGAGGAGCAGCATTGGCCAGAGACTTGGTCTGCAGATTCCCCCATCATCCGGCCCAGAAACTCTGCACTCTCTAGCCTTGTACTTCGCCACAGCCATGGACAATATCACGAAGAGCTTCCCCACTGAGAGATCGGCTTCATTCACAGATGGCACAACCACGAGTGCTGAGGCAGTGACAGAGAGCAGAGGCATTTCTGGAGCTCTGCTGCGAGATGAAACTGTGAACAACTACGAGAAACTATTCCAGTACGAGAGATGCATTCATTTATGTTAGATTGACGATACTACAAACAGACTCTTTCTTTGCAGGCCACCACAACCGGAGACAACCACTCTTCCGCCCACAACTGAGCTTCCTGATCTCACTACGCCTGATCTGCTTTCTCGACTGGCTTCGATTCCCTTGGCAGAGAGCAATGATTTGGAGGGTCAACACTCCAAGAATCCTGTCGTGTCAGCAGCTGGAACGCAGCAGATCCGGGAACTGGCTCAAGTCTTCACGCACGCTTTGTCCGCATATCTCCACGATCCGATCATGTTCAGGAAAGTCTTGTCTGAGATCCGACCCACAGAACCGCCTCCGCCATCCGTGGAAACGAACGAAGTGGTTTCCAACAGATTCGGTCGCACCGAAGACTTTGATAAGCGTGATAATCAAATCAGCACACAAGGAGTGACTTATTTGCCGACCACGCCATCAACCACGACGACAACTGAAGGCCTGGAAATCCTGGATTTCTCAGATGTGACTATTTCCACGAAGAGGGACTTCACGAATGAACCATTGACACCATCCAGCGTAACAGATTCCCCAGAAAAGGACAAGAGCTCCGCATTTGACCTGTCGAAGACTCCAGGCTCTAACTTGGTGTCTGAGAATCTCGAGCGATCAGCCAGCAAATACTATCAGAGCCATAATGGTCAGAACAATGATGAAGACAATGAGATCCCGACTACCACTGAGAATCAACTTGCGGCCGAAATCAATGGGGAACTCACCATCTCAACCATTTTCCCATACTTGCAAGGAGACAGTCATGAGAATGAGGGCAATTTCACTCTTGACGAAAACAGTTATTTCCCAGTTGATTCCGGCGAGGCGAAGAGGAATGTGAGTTCATCCAAGCCGTACGGATTTGATGTGATCGGACAGTTGCGAGTGGAGAATCTTGTGACATCAACCTCAGCTCCTGTACCTGCCAATCGATGGGGATCCGAAGTCACTACTGATTCTCCCTTCTCCACAGCCTTTCCAGTGACTCTTTCTTCCGAATTGACTCCACCGGCAAAGCAGGACAGTGCAACGAATGGCCATCAGAAGCCCAGCATACTAATCCTGCCACCTGTGAAGCTAGAAGACGAGGAGAACTTGCAGAGAGCTCAGAGTCAATCCTTGGTGGCGTCAGGAAATCAACTTCTTGGAGATCGCAAAGGCAAGGCGCAAAAGCAATCCACGGAATCTCCAATCTCGACTACAATCGGATATGAATCGACAACTTCTGAGCCAAGATTTGACTTCAGTCACACAAGTGGCGAGTCCGTTTCCACGACATTCGCGCCTCTGGCTCAATTGAAGGGACATTACATTACTAAGGCCCTGCCTGACACCACAACTCCAGGATCCACGCCCGAAGTGGCCACGACAACGGATTTCCCGGACGTCGGGAAGTTCAGCCCTAATCCTTGGTCAACGCTGGCGTACACGATCTTCCTGGATCCGCTCACAATTAACGATGGTCTGATGAATTCCGCAGAGGAAGAGTCCACGGCGGAGAATGGAAGGCTGGTGAATGGATTGACCAGGACTACAGTGCCCTACACAGGAGAACTCACGACCGAGGCCACAAGTACAAAGTTCGGACTGCGGAACTCCTTCGATGATGATCTGCAGAGTGTGAGAAATGAGACCTCAAATGTGAAAGATGCCATGAAACGCCGTGCCAATGAGATGTTTGGCGGTCTCAATGAGACTTCCGTCAACTCCCTGATGAATGTCATGAAGAAGGCGGACAGCAACAAGACGGTGAGACGCCTGATCCTGCTCCTCATTCAGACCTGCGACGAAGACTACACGAAGACTGTGGAGGAGTCGCGGAAGGCCCTCCTGGACGCCCTCATTGGCATGGACCACAATGACATTGAAGATAACATCCAGATACTCACCACGAATCAACTCCGTGGCCGAGGAAGCAGAAAGATTCGCCTCCAGACGGCCAATGGCCAGAATGTGATTGTCGACAGCAGCACTTCTTCAGTTCCTATCACCACATATCGCAGAGTTGTTCCCGCGGAGACCATCTCAACCACTTCCAGCACAACGCAAGCTCCCCCCACGACGACGGAAGTTCCCGAGACGACAACTGTCCTGCCAGAAACCACCACGAGACGCATAAGTGGACGGTTTCAGGCGGACGAAGCCATCTCGGCGGAGACTTTGAGCACCTTTGACGATTTCGGTCGCCGCACAACTCCTCTTCAGTCATACACTAGCACCACGGAGGCGCCTGAGGAAGCCACCACGATCTTCCCAATCTACTACCACTCTAGCGAGGTCACCACGCGCTCTGCACCCGCCAAGGCACCCTCCACCACAACCTCCACCACCACATCCCGTCCCATCGCTCCGCGGGTGCACATATCCAACGACAAGGACACCAAGAGAGTGGGCAAGAGCCTGGAGCAGCTCCTCGGCCAGCAGTCCATCAACACAGTCCAGCACAAGCGATCGGACGAGCGCGCCCTGGAGCTCCTGAAGTCCCTGTACGCTCTCGCCGCCAAGTGGGGCCGACGATAAAACTCTCGCAACGTCTCCTGGACGCACCTCGTCTATGTGAATAATCCTCCTGTGCGTGTGGGTGAATCTGCAAAATGTCTGTGTTGCGTGACTGCTGTGCGTGAATGAGGAGGTCTTCTATCGATATTTATAACGCAATTCCTTCACATCCCGTTGCCATTTTCATCCCTGCTTGCACGCCTTTCGATCCTCATCCTGGTTCCCGGATTGTGACCAACCTGCTTTCGGTGCTGGAAATGAGACGCTTCTAACAATTCACTTCCCACTTCACATCAGCATATTGAGCTACTGCATCATTGAGAACGCATAACAATGGAATTGTCCTATACCTACATGACATATATAGCAAATTAGGAGGAAAGATACTGAGAGTGTAGAATTTATAATATGATATTCTTGTTGTTAAGGGCACTTCGGCCCGCGACTTTTCGCGCCGCGAATGCCTTTTCCCTGAGACACACAGTGAGTGAATGAACGGTGGATGAGAGTCTTTGAATTCTGGAGTCTGAATCAATAAGCAAAAAAGAGCTAGAGTGAAATATACTTTGAGATTTTTTTCTGTGTAACCTTCAATAACAGAATTAGAATTCTTGTTCTAGTAATTTTCTCGTGTAAGTGCATGTTAAGGAAAAAAAGGAGAAAAAAAAGTTAAGCGATGGAAATTGAAGCGGAATTATTTTTAAAAAGTAATTATTTTATGTATAAATAATCAATTACAAATTTGTGTATATAAAACATGAGAGAAATATAATATTAATGATTTTCTTTTATTGATCACGCGACTTTCCATCAAACGCCATAATTGGTCTTCTCAAGTGAATCGGAAGTGTTAATTGAATTTTCCCTATACTCTTGCCTGTGAGAGACATTTTCCAGCTTCGCAGGACTATAAATAGGAGCTTCGCGCGCCATAGCACGAAATGTGACCAATTCCAGACAAAAGTCATACGCACAGACACCAAAAATATATTCGCAAGTAATTGATCGAGTTATCATCTGTCGATGGGGGCTAAAATTGTCACTGCGTCACACACTCACATCCCTCGGGAGGGTGTCTCTCGAGCGTCATGCCTCCGCCCCGGGCGCCACACTACGAAAATGGAGGGAAGCAAATTCAATTAGGACACGAGGTTTCTGCTCTAAAGTGGAGGCGAGCCTCGTGACAATGTAGTTTTTCATTGACTGCCGCGAGAGTGGCGGGAGGATTCTTGATCTACATTTATAGACGACGATATCCGCCTTAGTGGCTCCATTTCCTGTCACTCCGTGAGACACTATAAATAACCCGAGTGGCGCGGTGGTGAGAAAAGAAATGTGAGTAACCTTTTCACCCTCGAAAGCTTTTACTTTTAACACCAACAGCACACCAAAGTGCTCTCGAGGAGACCAAGTCCCACGCCCAGAGGGAGGGACAATTAATTGATTTAAATGCACAAGGGAATTTCTTTTGTCGTGAAAAGTTCATGTATTGCGTCAGTGTTGAAGTGAAAAGGAAATGGAATGGGAAATGGGAATCTAGGCCGCAGGAAAAGTTGCGAAATTCCACGAAGAAGGAGATAAAAATAGTAGAGGATTTCCTGTTTGACAGGTAAAATGTTATGACTTTAAATAGGAAAAGTGATTAGGGCTGAAAGGTTTCACTTATGATTCTCCAAGCACGTTTTCTTATAGCATTTGCGATTGTCAGGAGACGTTTATGACGTCAGAATCCCCATTCAAATGATTCACATTGAGGGTATTGAATAAATCTGGGCATATCTTTTCGAAAGCTGTACGAATAGGGGCTATAAGGAAGTTTTGTCTGCACACTTAAACTTAAGTAAATTCAGAAGTAATGACGTATATTGATTTGTCTCAGAAATTGATCAACTAAAATTTACAAATGTGTGTTCATCAGTGCTCTTTAATACACATATAATCATTATTTCTCGTATACTCAAGCCAACGGGTTTTCCTGAAAATGGTGATGTCAATTGATTCGTCTGCTCTGTGTGGAGAAAGAAGCGATCAGGCACGACAGAAGGGTGAATGTGCGAGAGGAAATTCAGAGAAAGCACGATATCACACCCAAACCCCCACTGGGTGTCCGATGAAAAATCTCCCACCTTTTGCATGCTATGTAGTAAATAGCGAGCGCGTGCTGGAGCTCCTCTGGCCATCCCTGTTCCACTCACGGGGTTGCCAAGGAGTCCTCCGTGGCGGGGTATGCGAGTGTAAACAATGGGGGGAGAGACCTGACAATGTGTGTCTGGCGATCAGGCGCACCGAGTCGCGTCTCCTGCGTGAATTCCCCTGAAAGCTTCCACCACTCCTCGCCATGAGGGGTGATCCGTGGCAGCGAAGACCCGATGGAACTGGAGAGGGCCAGAGTAGCGCGACAGGCAGAACAAACATGGCGCTCTGGGTGGATGAAAAGCATCTCTCCCTGCGGCCACTTGAGGCCAGTGCTCGTGCCTAAGGACGGTTGCTGTACGGGTCACGTGGACCACTGACCCACGGCGGAGACGGTGAAGTGACAGGTGATGAGCCAGTCGTGAGAGCGCCGAGACACTCAGTGAAAAAACGGTTTCATTCCCGCAATCAGCGCTTAGAGGAGCGTCTTTGGGGAGAAGCGGCAAAGCGGCGGAAAAGTGCTTTCCACCCCCCGTGCGTGCCTATGCCGTGAAGTCGTGCGCGTGTGTATTTGACCCAATGACACCAGACAAAATACAGCCGAATGCGTGGCCGCGGCTCGGCCTCTGCGACTACACGACCGCGATATTAGTGCTATAAATTAGATTGCGGGCGAACTCCGCATAGCAGGACACAGGCATCGTGCTGGACGCGAAGATGGACACGGTGGCGAGTGGCTGTGGTGCCGAAGAGTCTTCCGAGAGCGACAATGAAACTGAGCCGGCTCGCATCTTCCACAGGAGGCTGTCCACCAAGAAGGAGATCCCCAACTCCGTGAGTATATATCGATATAGAGATTTTCGTGTCCTCTTTGAGCCCCTTCGTCATTCGATATTAAACAACCCCATCCCACGGAGGCACGCAGACCCTCCTTTAAGGACATGCCATTTCCACAGATGGCGAGGCAGGATTTGGAAATGTTCGGCAAGATTACTGAAAAATTCATACTGGACTGATTTGGGGATTTTGATTAGGACACGCTCCTGGAATATGAAATTACTCAAAGGTTTAAAATTAAGTTCTGTGCGGCCTTTGGGTGATGAGCACACTTTATAAGATAAAAGCGAAGGTCGCATCTCATTAAATTTTGGGAATTGTATTCTGGGCAATTTTGAATTAATTGATTCCATTGCTCACCTTCAACAGGTGTCGATATCCATTTACTCTGGAGAGATTGTTTGTCTAAATGAACTGAGAGCTGAATTACCCAATTTCCCACTCGACTGGTTAATAAACACAGGATAATTTTCTTTGAAATTTAGAAATCTGTCTAAAATAACCCCATCTCTTTGACCCGAATTTTTCATTTCCGCTGTTAAATGAAACATTCTATTTTTATATAATTAAAATTTGAATGAGTAAAGTTTCCTGGGTCGTGTAGAAAAAGTCGGCATTCCGTCAGAAATTGCGGTGAAATCCATTTGATGGCCCGAGGGAAAGTTTCAGGAAATTATAGGAGAACCTTTCACAAGTATCCATGCAACTTTCATAGTCTCGTCCGTCAGCTATCGTCTGCGTGTTTATATGAAACGAATAACCATTTCATGCTATATCGTTATTGAGTGCGACCGTGGGGCGCGTGAGGATGAGTCCCAACCGGGAGTGGGAATCCGGTGTGGAGGGAAAAAAAGAGTAACGAAAAGAAGAAAAGTGTGTCACCGCACACAAAATCGATTTTTGCGCTTTTTTGCTCCTTTTCTTCTCAACCACACGCTTCTGTGGTGGGGAATTTCTCACCCAGTTCAAATTATTTGTACAGCGAATTACATATCCAACGGGACGCGCCACCCAGCCACCCACCGCACACCCTATTTGAGCAGCATTATTGTCGAAAACCACGCAAATAGAGAGCGCGAATTGCTGGGGAAAGTAGGCAAATATTTGCACTTGTAGGACGCCCGGCGGAGCCTCCGAAGTGTCAGGGCTGAAGAGAGGTGACACCCCACTTTGGGGAGGAATCACGGCGCTTGTCGAATTCTCACCCACCGCCGAGTGCCACATTTCGGTGTCCCTCAAGCCTGACCTTTTCCCTTCCTGTGCATGTGCCTTCGCTCCCGAGCGTCTGCTTTCCCGCCCTTCAGCGGGCCGCACGAAGGAGAGCCCCCGAAGGTGGCCGCCGAGGGGGTGGATTATGGTAATTGAGGGTGGTTACACCCGTCAGAAGAATGGCATCACTCGCCTGGCGCAATCAGATAAGAATGAGTGATATACGGAATGCTTGTTGCGTTTGCCTCAGCCTCACCTTCCGCGGCCACTGGGAATAGAGGAGCATTGAAAAATTGCAGCGCATGGATGGATCTGTCTGTTTGTGGAGAAAAACCACATACTTTCAATACTCCTTTCTCAGCGATTATACCATCGCGACGGCCCGGAAAACCTCCCATCCACTTCCTCCTCTAACTTGGAATGTTTCACTTATCAGCTCGGGAGCAAGGCCAAGCTGGTGGGGCGGGAGTGTGGGAGAAAACCCGATAAGAAAGATGAAAAGACCGAAATGGTTTCCCAAGGAAGACTCTTCCATGTACACATTTTCCTTCATATATTTGTCATGATGGAGAGTGAGAGAATATAATTTCCTCTTCAATCACAAACTTTGAATCGCGATATTCCCACAATATTCCCAAGGAAAGTTGACGACAGAGAAAACTTATCACTCACACCCCTTCAGGCATTTCCGTCCAAGAGCCCCGGCGTACACCTCATTGTTCTTTTCCGCACATTGCGCGCTCAGCCAAGGAGGGAAATTGCGGAAGACCCGAGATAGTGGAGGGCAAAACAAAAGGCAGATGGTTCTACTATATAGGGAAACATGGAGGTATTTTTCTTTTCACACAAATTAGAGGAATTTCTTAATAACACCACACTTCTTCGGGGTGGATTTTCTGGGTGGGTGGCTGGGGGAAAAAGAGAGGAAGTACTTAGTGGAATTTCACTCTTGAGGATGCGAATGAGTTCCTCCCAAAGGATGTACACATGCAAGAAAAATGGGGTGGAAGTCCGAAGATGTTGAGCAACTTTAATCCCCTGCAAAATTAGCCTTTCAGCTACTTCACTCTGAGCAGAGACCCACCCTTCCATTTCCATTTTCACACACGAAGAACCCCAAGACACAATCAGAAGCTCGAGGGGGTTTCGACTGCCGAGAAAGTGTTTTATGTTTCCTGTGAAATGGTCTGTTAAGACTTTTCACCTCCCCGGCCGCCCGTCCCCAGCGGTGCGCCTGGTAAAATCGCCAATCACCCCACCCGGGCGGATGGTTAACATGAAACTATACTTTCGCCCCAGCGCCGAGGCTTGGCAGGGGGTAAAAAGCTCTGGGGTTCAAGGGAAGCGAAAGAGGATAATGATAATTACAACAATATACACACTCCATACCCACTTTAATTATGCTCCCCATTTCCATATTCCCACCCTCCTCAGATGCTCTCCTTGTTCAACGTCCTCACGATGGATTTTCCACTAGTTTGTGTGTGTGCGGCAAACATTTTAGCTTTTACTACCACTTTATACGTCATTCAAGAACAGTTTTGATGCCCTTTTCACTGTCCTCACCGTTCACATTCCACCCCACAATGGGTGGCCAACTCTTGGTCAGTGTTCTTGTGGATACACTTTCCTCCCAGCCTGATTTCTATACCGTAGAAAATTTTCGTGCTCGCATTGTTCGCACATAAAAAATGGGTTCGTGCTTAGCTATACATTTTAATGGGACGAATATAATCTCCGTGCATTCTTCTTCTATACAAGCTAAATTATTCAGCAAAAGACGTACAGAGTTGAGGGATTTCCCAGCCTGAATTCCAGAATTAATTTTCTGTACAAATTGAAAAATGGCAGAGAAAAACACGGATAAAGACGACTGTACAAGGTGAGGGGAGTTATTTTAAAATTTCTCCCCTCACCCAAAATAGAATCAATTATATCGAGCTTAGTGCGTTTGATGAGAGTCTTGATTTTCGTACAATGCGGGAAAATCCTCAGTTTTTCTACGTGTAGAAAATTCAAATGTCCATTTTGCAGACACGGTCTTATATACCCAAGAGAAGGGTAAACGGAGAATGCGTCTTTCTATCAAGAATCATTATCATATCCCATCCCTTTTTGGCTTGAATGGCAATTTTCATCCATGGAAATGAGGTGGTGAAGATGAGATTTGTGTTTTGTCGGGGACCGCACACAAAAGACGCTTTACTTTTGAGGGTGTGGGAAATATTCTTCATCTGCTCGGGTGTAAAATGAGTCAAGATAAAATTGACAATGGGAATTGTTTCACAGCATCCGATAAATTTTATGTTTATCCGCATTTACGTTGAGCAAAATTTATTGCGTCAACTCTTCGGATGTCGTAAAAATTTGGCGAGGATATTTCAAAATTAATAAATCATCCCCCATCCATTTGGATTATAGATCCTGGCTGCTACAGTTGAACCTTTTCCGCCCAAATTCACGTGCGCCTCACACCACAAAAACCATTTGGAATGCCTTCGTGGTTTTGCGGGTGCGTTTGTCAGAGAATTCGTGTGAGGATAAATCAATAAAATGTGTACGGAAAGCATGATCGATTACCATCTCACCTGCGCCCCAAAAATGTGCTTCATCTTCTCAATCGCTGTTGTCTCTCTCAATGTCCAATTCAGTCTTCAATGAGGGAAAAAAATCTCCCCATTGGAATTCACTGTCAGTCTCTGCGGGGTGACAATGCAGTGCATCGGACATAAGCAAGGATTTCGTTCTGTTCTCATCAGCAAATTCGTCCTGAAAGACTTCCCAGTCACTCTCTCTTGCTCTCAAGCCAAAGTGGCGCAACAGAGGGGAAGGATAGCTCACACTGTGGAGATTTTAATCATTTTAATTGAATTCCCCACAGTTGTGCATCCTCCCCTTTCCCCCCATGAAATATTCATAATTTTCCAACACGATATAGAGAAATCTCTGTGTTCGATTCCACTCTGAATTTACATGCGATTAATCATCTGAGGGAGAGAGAAGAGAGGCTGATAATTGGGGAATTTTCCGCTCAACTTGACCTAAATTCCACGAGGGATTTATTTTCGGGGTGCTAAAGCTCCCTAATTCGTATGTAAACGCCATTGCAGTGGGGAAAAATGGGTCTAATTTGATATATATTATTACTCATGAGCCTCAGAATATATGAACAACGCGCCCTGAGAGAGAGACAGACATTCTCTGATGATTTGCCTCACTCACATTGTGTGGTATCTTTTTTGGTGGAAAAGCGCCTCGTCGCTTTCATGGGCAATTAGGCAGATTGCCTTACAACAGAATGTATAGCGCCTGAGGGCGCTTTGAGAGCGGCTTTAGATTCTAATACACCAAGTGCCGATGCAACTAACGAGCTTTTCGGGAAAACACAGAACGATGCTGGGTGTGAGATGAAATCCCCATCGCACCCAGTGAAAAAGGCACCACTTTATCATGGTAAATAGAGACGTGGCACGAGTGAAGAATTTTGGTGGCGCGCTTCGAAATATGGGACACCGCACCCCTAAAATGGCTAAAAGATAAAAATGGACGAGCGAAAAGCTCAGGCTGATGTGCGAACTCCTTATGCTCCGGCCGATTAGGCACAAATCCCTGCAAGATCCCGCCAGATGAGGATGTTAAAATATTTGAATTCATAAATTGAATTTCAATTAAAAACGGCTCAGAGCCCGCTTCCCATGGAAATTCTTATTGGTACGAGGGATTTGTGTATTTATTTCGAGGAGATTACTCGTTTCGCGAACCTTATGCATGGAGTTTTCGATGATTTGATGATTATTTAAATGCATGGGAGAGCGCGCTGGAAAATTTTCCGCATAGATTTCTGTGTCATCTCTTCTGTGTGCCTCAACACGGCGTGACTTCAAATATACATTTCCATCGCGGTGCGATGGATTGAACAACGCCTAGTAAACATCGAGGGTGAGTGGGCGCACTTAAGACCCACCCCACGGAATGTCTCGTTAGTTCGTGCTTCCGGCTCACGGCAATATTGCTCCGCATTTGTGTATTTGTACGCTATAGCGTTGCCACATAATGTAAATGCGAGCATTTTACGCCAAAGTCTCCGCACTGGTACATAATAGTAAAGCCGAGGCACTGCTCGAGCTCCTCGCTCTCGTCCCAGCGCCACTCTGTTGTCCCTGTCGAGGTGTCGTTCCGCTTCGTTATGTAGTACACAAGCGCCACAACAGGTGCTTTCTCTCCCCCTCACTTTTCCTCAGTCGTCCTGGGGAAAAGGAGTGGAGAAACTAAAGCTCCGTTCACAACCGTCACCGCAAGCTCTCGCTCTCCCTCTCTCAGTCACTCTCTCCGCTCTCAAAGCTCTCTGCGAAGTGGGAGGCACTTAAGCTGGCCCGGCTCTGGCGGGATGAGAGACTTAATGGTTAGTCTTCATCAAGGAAGCTCATCAGATGGGGAAAGGCGCAGATTTTCCTATGAAATTGCAAGGCAACAGAGCCGCAAATTTGCATTTTTCAGCAATAAATCTACTCGGTTCCTATGGAAATTTTTGAATTTTGTGAGAAAAAGCGTATAACAATTAGCCTCCTGCCCGAAGGACTTTCCGCGGAAAACAATGTGAAAAAGCACCCTTGTCGCAATTAACCTTACCTTGAGGTATTTATTCTTTTGTCTGCCTCTCGTCTGTAGGTCGCCACGAAAGAGGGTTTCCTCATGAAACAGACGTGGTCCTTTCAGCGCTGGCGTCGACGCTTCTTCCGCCTTAAAGGTCACAAATTGTACTACGCCAAGGATTCCAAGGTGAGTGGCATTGCATAATTACAGATCCACCTGGCCAAATCCTTCCTATCACACTGCGGTGAGCACTGATTAAATCACAAAGAGTGACTGTGGATAAAATTCCATTAAACAAACAACAATGGCCCAACCCATCGCTCACATACATAATCCGCGATATTTCACCTGCAATTTACCCAGTCACTGGATTATTCAACGCTTTCCTCCCGCTGAATAAATGGCAGAAGTGACTGGTGATTTTTAATTGAAGTGGAAAATTCTCACTTCCATCAATTTGCTGTCGAGCCTATGGATGAAGATTGATTGTTCAGAGTGCTCTGGTACATCAGCTATAGTGCAGGATTAAAATAAAAAAAAACACCTACACATATAATTCACTTTTGTATGGTTTAAACATGCAAATGGATTTCAGTTGCAGTGGTTTTATGATCCATATATAGAAACCTTTGGCATATCCAGCACTTTCTATAGTGTAAATATGGAATTGCACTGTAATTTTAACTCTGCGGCCTTTTATCCTTTCATCCCTTTCACATCCACATACTGACATCCACGCAACGTAGTGTTGTTAATTAATTTACTAGCGATTTGCATAAAATTCTCTAGATGACGTATTTGCAAACTTTCTCGTAGTTTACTTTCGTCAAAGGACAATTTGTCCACAAGTTGCAAAACACGCAAGGTCCAATGGTTATTCATAGGAATCCCCAGACGCGGAATGTCACTGCAAAAGGCCATTGACTGCCTGGAAAAAAAATCCTCACTTTCATCCTGGCACGACTTGATGGGGAATTAATTAAAATTAATTAAAATTAGATAAAGTAATTAAAAGTTTGCCAATAGTGTCATTCAACTTGTTGCTCACTGTGACAGTGACGATCTTCTGGGAGTTGCTTTGGCATCATGAACTGTCCGGAGCTCACGTGAAACTTTACAATAATATCGCACATAAATTAATCACATTTTCCTCCACTCGGACCAAGATTCTGCCGCCGAAGTTGGGCGATCGGAGCGATGAAAAGCGGGAAAATGGAATGAAATTACGTCCAAATGAGTGGATAACAAGTGAAATGTAAATTTGATATTTGCCCGCGTGAAGAAGATGCGAGAATTTTTTTTTCTTTCAGCACCCAAAAGAGGAGCTTCGCTGAAAATAAACAACATTTCGCCATTCCGAATTTCGTGCGCGGATAGGAAAAAGGAGGAGTGGAAAACTTGAGAAATAATACAGAAACTCCCTCCAGTGAAGATTGAATTTCACATTAATCAAAATGACGAGACTTCTCAAGATCCTCTTTCACTCCACTCAAGAGCTCGTGTCTAAATTTGTGTGGAGAAAAAGTTCTCCTCCACTTGTGTTTTAATTTTCCCCATTGTCGAATCCTCGACTCTCACTTCCGGCACCTTTTTTTTGCATGCGCGCCGCGACCTCAGGGAAAAGCGAGGGAAAAGCAATGATGTCGATGGCAAAATTAACTCTCAAGTTGCGAATATAGCCAGAAATGATCATGTACATTGCCATTGGCGAAGCAGCGGAAAAGTGCGACAAAAACAAACAATTTGTGGCTTTTGAACTGAATTTCCTCACGTCACAACAATAAACCGAACTAAATATAATGCAGCCAGCGAGAATGTGGAAGTTTCGCATCATTTGTTTGCTTTAAATCTCAATGTATAATTTCAATTTAATCACAAGGTTACCTTTTCTGTTTGAGACACACCAGCAAGAGCCAGACTGCGCCTCACCGTCAGGCGATACTTTGTCGAGGAAAACTGACAATTAACCTTGTGGTTGGTCTTCGTCTTTCTCCGCCGTGCCCAACAGTCGACGCTGGGGAGTCGCAACCCCCGAGGGCTGATAAGTACACGCACGTGCTGAGCAGTAACATCAGTGATTAGGGAATTCATGGAATATTTTGCTTAATGTCGCAAGATTAAGTGGAATTTCGGAATCTTCCACTTAATCACCTGTTCTGTGTATGAGAGAAAAAGCTCTCTCCCTCTTTAGCAACAAGGCAGGGAATCACTGATACTCCATCATTATCCCATTCGGCATTTTACTCTATCATAAAGAATCTATATTGAAAGACACTTAAGCGCCAAACTCGCCATTTGTTCCCACAATAAAGGATCTATCAAAGTTTTAGCTGCACTTCGCCACCCCTCGTGAGGCCACCCTCAACCAGACAGTGACGAGAGCAACAGTGGAAAGCCATAAAGCGACTCTCCGCAAACCACCCTCTAATCCACCCCTAGAGAGGAGCTGTGTAACGCGCCAAGTTGCAATTATCGCCTTATTACAAGCTCCACTATTGACTGCGAGCCACGATGGATACACGGGGGTAAATGAAAAACACCACAGGACATCCCCATTTCACCCGTCCAGCCAACACCAACCCCGTCTGGCTGTTGCAGGAATTTTTCAATAACGCCAATGAGATGATGTTGGGTGGATGTCATGCAATTACCAGCAATTTTGCACTCAAAATTCACTTTGTTGTCTTGCAGTCTTTTATGACTCTGGCTGCAACAATTCTCCCATGAGATTGAGGCTCCATTAAATGCTCCCCTTCGCTGCACCCTGTCTCGTGGCAAAAGAAACCAACTGGATGCGGTTTCACTTGGGGAATTCATCAAAACAGAACAATTCTTGCGAATTGATTAAAAATTCTCCCCCGAATTAGCTAATTAAGCGTCTGTTTTCGAAGGATAACACGCACAGGAGGGCAATTTTTCACGATGACGCGGAAAATGATCCGAAATCGAGGAAGTTTAATCAAATTGGCCCAGGAAGTTGGTGTTTATATGGTGATGTCCGAGAGAGAGAGAGAGCCTTGAAATTGACGTGCCAGGGCAAAATGCCGCCCTCCGGAGAAGAATGTTATTAATGGAAGATGAAATTTCACATGGTAATGAGAGGAGAGCTGAAATTAATTGGATTCTTTGTTGTTTTTTCCCTCCCAAAGTGCGCACAAGGCACTTTGCACAAACTTTCTCCACTCGGAGGCGCTATCTTCAAATATTTGAACGCACTGCGAGTTTGCAAACTTTCACTACACTTCATTATCCTTGCTGCCTGCCTATACCCCCAATTTCACCCTCGTCTGCTTCCTGGGGGCCGCTGGAGTGTCTGTGTGGGGAGGCATGATTCGCCCTAATGAACGAAAATCATTTGAATTGTCTCCTCTGGGAGGCTCTTGCAAAATCTCTGCACAGACACTGTCTGTCAAGCTCGTGCCTCCCAAAGTATGGGAAGAATTTCTGGAAATAGTAAGAATCATATGTGTCTTCCGCATAATGTTTAACTTTCCAGCAAGAATAAATATTTCAGTAGCAAAATCAATCTCCATCCTCGGGGTGTTTGTTGACTCTTTGGAAAATCTCAATAGTCTCACAACCCATAAACTCCGTTGAAAGGGTGAAGTTGGGTTGAGGGAGATACAATTCTGGAAGGTGTGATGTTTATGCGGAATATCGAAGCACAGGACAATGCTCGTGAGATGTTTGCGGCGTTTGCGGTCAGTTCTGAATGTGACAGACTTGATTTGAAGATGAAATGCACTAAAGGCACATCGACCTTGTCCGCAAATTAGCTTATCATGATGTTCACATGAGAAATCATGACTTTCGGATGATAAAGTTAGAGCATACAAATTACTGTTCAAATTACGAAAAGTTCCTAATTGCGTTTTCCTTTTCCATGTAATAATTTGATTTTCAATCTTGATATTCCAAACTCTTTGGTTTCTAAAGTTTTGCATGAACTATTTTAAACGAAATTATATAAAATTAGTTTGACCCATTTACATGAAATATGCTACATCTGAACTTGCACAATTATTTTCCTAGCCAACTACGGAAAAAAAAACTCTAATTTTCACAATTTTTCAACAAAAAAGAACGGAAAAGTGTCATTCCAACATATCTGGTAGACAAAAACAATTAGAAACTTCTTCGGTATTTTAGCATAGAGAACAATTCCATTTTAGCGTCTCGATGCAGATCTGCAAACAATTCGTTAAGCCTCCATTTGGAGAGAATTGGCAGAGAATTTCTGTGTTGACACAATTCGTTGTCAGGATTGGAGTGCACTTTTGCCGGATTCAATTCTTGTGCTCAATAATTAATTCGACAGATTTACTTGAGCGGCAAATTATATGCTGAGTCCGAATGCCTCGGAATATTCTCACGGGAGATTCTCTCGAATTTTCTCACGGTGGGTGGCCTCTCGTGGGGTGGCGAGCAAGGTGGACCCGCGTGAGAGCGCGCATGTGAGAAAACCGAGAGCGAGAGAGCGGAGAGAGCGCAAGTGGAAAAGGCGAGAGCGGCTCTCCTGGCTATGAGTTTCCATGTGGGAAATCGACGGCGAGAGCACGAGGCTCTTCTTTGGCGCTGGATTTTCCTCTACAAAACCAGACGGCGCGCTCGATGTGTCGTCAGTTGGACTGCGAACGCCAAGCGGCTCCAAGCATCAGAACAGACCGACGAGAGCATCCACGCATCCGCTGTTTTGGCCCTGCAACAACTTACCTTTTGCTGTGTTGTGTGTCAAAGTTGAAGGGACACTCTGTCCGCCACATTTTGCCTGAACTTTTTGAGTGTTGAGTGTGATCTTCAAGAGCAATTCCCGACTAAGAGCAATACACCACTTTCCCGATCCGCGCGTCCTGTATTTTCCCACACCCCGAATCTCCCTTTTTATACTCTTTCTACTCACATTAAGCTCTCTCCTCCTCCTCTTCCTCCCCGGCCGCAATGCTTAAGCACCATCAGCTTCTGTATCCAAACAGGTAATTTCATACCTTGTTTTCGTACATGATCCAACCCGCACTGCATCACTTCGCCCATGTAGACACGTACTACAAGAACGTCAATTAGACAGTCAGCACTTTCATGTTATATTCATTAGGGGATTGTTTATTCCGGGCCCGATGCGAACATTGTAAATAATCGATTTGCCAAGAGTCGCAGGAGAAATTAAATTCGAAATTTCCATACTTCAA